GGAGAACAGAGATTTTAATGGGTACCTGGAATCTCCTGCTGTCACCGACTTCTACATCTCTTTAAAGCTATTGTTTGGTTTTAACCTCCTCTTGTGCTTTCTCTCCTTCTGCAAGCTTTGCAGTTTTGGCAGCCTTTTTAACATCACAGTGAGCGGAGTTAAGTATTTGATATGCTTAAAGCACTTCAAGCTCATGAACACACAGCCTGCAAGGCTGGTGTTCAGTTGCAGTGAGCCAGGTTGTTTCTGGCAGTGCTGGTACAGAGCATGTTCTCATGGAAGATATCTAGAAAATGTACTTTGTGGGAAAGCAAAATCTGACTGATGTGATTCCTGGCACCAGTGTCTCTTGTGATGTGACTGTTGTGGCATTTCTGGTTTGGGACCGTATCACAGTGGCTCTTAGAGACACAGCACTACTTGTCAGCAGCCAGTGCTGCTGTGAAGTGGGACCTAGGAAGTGTGTGCTCACCCTGTGAAATACAGCCAGATGTTTTACAGCTGCACAGTTGCCTACACAAGTTGCCAGTAATCCCTGGAAGTTGTGCAAGGCAATGGCCAACTGGAATTGCACTGCCTGGTGGGAAGGGATTTTCCATTTTGTAACCTGATGTCTTCGAAGTCATCACAGCCAAGATTCCTCTTCAACATCTGCAGCATCCTGTGCTCCTGAGCATGGAGACCACAGAGACATTGCCAGCTGCAGAGCTGTGCTGTCAGTGGTCAGGGTTGTAGTGGCCACATGATGTTCAGTTCTCTAAAGTTAGGGGGATATTTTTTACATCTTGGTTTCTGCTCATGTCCCCCTACTCCTCAGTACAAAAGCCTTAAGTACACCTCATTTTGGAAGCAGAGATGTGGCTCCCTCATCCCTGGCAGTGTTCAAGGCCAGGTTGGAAGGGGCTTGGAGCAAGCTGCTACAGTGGAAGGTGTCCCTGGCCATGGCAGGGGATTGGAACGGGATGAGCTTTAAGGTCCCTTCCAACACAAAACCAGGCTGTGATTCTGTGAATCTGTGTAATGGAATTGGGTAGGATCTACACCAAGTACACACTGAACTGCAGGAAAGCAATCATTTATTTTTTTTGTCCTTTCTGCCAAAGAAAGCCCTGTTCAAATGCAGCACAAACTGAGCGCACGCAGCCCAAAGGCAGTGAGTGGTGACAGCACAGCTGTAAAATGGAAACCTGCTCAATAGAACTGTGCTGATTACCTTGAGGGCTCTCACTTGATGATCAGAAATGTGTGTCCAATTTTGATGTGTGAGCTTTAAAAAGGATGTTGGCAAATTGGAAACTATTTAGGAAGGGGTTACAGGCAAGATTTGAAAATCAGGCTGTCTAAAGAGAGACTTAGATTCTTAATCGCTTTATCTTGTTTGAGAAGAAGAATAAAAGAGTGCTTGAGGAGGAGATCTGTGATGGTAACGACTCTTGAATCTGCAGTCAGGAAGCACTAGGGTGATGTTGGCAGCTGTGGCCATGGTTGAGCTATGCAGCCCTGACTGCGGGCACAGTCACTTGAGCAGTGTCACAGTGCTGGGCATTGTCTGCTGCTTGAAGCCTGTGGTCCAGACTGAGTCCTTGAAGCTGTAGGTCTGACGAAGCCGTGAACCAAGGGCTCTGGTTCGTGTCAGACAAGTGAGATACTTACAGCAGAGCAATGGCAATTCCAGTGTACCTGATTTTCAGATGAAATTTGGTAAGTTTGGGAATGTAGCTGGGCAGTGTGACCACCTCTGTGGAAGACACTCAGTCATCAAGGTGATGGGATGAAGCAAGAATTAGTAAGCTGAAAATTGTGAGGAAGACTTCAGGCCTGGTTTTTGGTCCATTCTCTTTTGATTCCCTTGATGCATTATTAAATGTTGAGGTGATGTTGTAGAGATTAAAATAAACCTGACTGCTTGTATGAAGCATGTAATACCTCTCTTTGGGGAGAAAGAAGTCTATTGATGATGGAAATGGTGTTAAGCCAGCACAAACCCCTTGAGTTAGAATGCTTCATGTCAGGTTCTACCCAAGAGCTCGAATGAAGTGGGGCTACATTGTGGAAACTCTGCAGCCTGTGTACATGTATTTTAGAGAGAAGGGTAGTGGAACAGGAACATGGTTTGAACCATTGGGAATGAGAGTCTCCAGGTTTCATATTTCGGTGTTTGGCAGGTACCAAACAATTTCATCCTGGACAAAGCCTTCTCTCTGTGAGTTTCTATTACCATAATGCATCCCTTGCGTTCTGGCTCCTTCTCCTAAACTTCCTTCCCATCGACCACATCTCATCCCATGTCACTCCTCTGCTCTGAAATTCTGTAACTTCTCTAAATGTGCAGGTACCCACACGAGTCTTCAGCTGATTGCCAGTTGTGGCTGAAACCAGATAGACCTGGCTTCTACTGAAATAAACAGCAACAGGACTTCAGCTGTGCTAGCCTTGATGTCAGAGACATTTAGAACTGGGTTGTAACTTGGGCACGTGCTGGATTATTGCCAGCAGCTGTGAAAGGATGCATCTGTCGGTACTGACTGACCTCACTATTGGGAAGTCTGTTCTCTGGTGCACAGCCCCTCTTGGCCATCATAAGAGCACAGTATGTTAGTTTGATTTGCTTTCTTTAAGCATGTAGGCCACTCTGTTGTTCCACCTGAAGCTTTCCTTGAAAGAGAACACGGTTATGGTACCAAGCTGATCACAGCTTCCGGAGAGAAGAATAATAAACAGCTCATTGAGGTAAAAGGAGAGATTTTGCTTGAGCTGTGTGGGCTTTTGATCAGAGAGGTTAATCTGAAAGGCATTTAGGCGCATGCCTAAGGAATAGAAATTGGCTTTAAAGGGAAATACATGCTACATTAGAATAAATTACAAGCTAATGTGATTGGGTAAAGCAGGGTGTAGAACAGTTAAGCTGGAGTGGGCTGTTAATCCATGTTGCCTGTTCATTTATTTTAATAGTGAGTTTACAAAACCAACAATAAAGCAGACTATAAAAGATGTAACTTCTAAAAATTATGCTTTAAACTCATAGAATTTCTCTGCACCCAGTTAAAAGGAAGCATGGCATTATGCTAAAAATACATACACTTGCAGACTGCTCCTTGGGGTGGCAGATCTCAGTGGTGCTGGTTTTCAGATGTGTTTGATTCTAAGTCATGCTTGTACCTCAAATTACAGGAAATTGAGTGTTCAGTTATGAGAGCTTTAAATTTTAATTCAACTTAAAGCATGTGTAATATATTCTTTAGTCTATGGAGTTAATAATATACTCTATAGTCTATATTTCAGTACAGTTTTGAGGCATTTCTCTGCTAGTAAGCACTTATGTCTTGGCAGGACTAGAAGTGCTTTTCCATATCAGCAACAGTGCATGAATGCTGAAATCTCACTAGAGGGTTGTGCTGTGTGTCAGGAGATTCTTACTCAGGCAAATGCATAACTGGTGATTGTATTTAGGAAGTTACTATAGTAAAATTAAGAACTAGTCATCTTGGATGCAGAATTTAAGTCTTTGACACAGAATTTTTCACATCCCAAAACTTCTGAGTAGAAGTTTGTACTGGAAGTTATTACAGAACAAAGTCCCCCCCATGACACTTACAGCACTCCTGTGACCTCTGGTTCTGTTTCTACAGCCCAGAGTCAGGATTAGGGAAGAATTTACTGGTTTTAAGATGTAGTTTCTGAAATGGCTTAGCTTCATGCAGGTGCCTGTGGCAGCAGAGAGGTGAGGTACCGGGGTGCAGAAGCACTGTCTTACCGCATTACTGAGGGCATCTGGACTTAGCCCTGGACCTCAAAAGCTTCAAGAACTGTTAGAGGGATCAGGGAGTATTTGCCTGGAAACCACACAAATTATGTTCCATTTGTAACAGGGTATTCAGGTTTCTGTTGGATTCTTACACCAATTTACAGCATCTTTGCATTGCCTCCCAGACTGGAGATTCTACTCTTTCACCAGCATGTGGGTGAGTGTTTGAAAGCTGATGGGCTTTTCTTTGCAGATAGATTGTCAGAGATGTGCAAGTGTACCTGGTGTGGGATGTAAATACAGCCACATATTGAAGCAGCGTTTTATTGTGTTTATCAGAAAAACTTACACCGAGGAAAAGCAAGGCCATTTTTTATGTTGATATTCATCATTTAGCAGCTATAACCAAATCTGGGGAAGCAACCAATGTTCTCAGTGAAACATCAGTGGAAACCTCCCTGGAACTTCATTGCTGTGCTGGTTAACTCTGCGGGAGGAGGTGGGCAGAACCTCGGGGAGGGCCACACTGAAAACTGTATTTAACAGGAGAGGGTAAGAAAAGCCTAGGAAAGTTTTTAGTAATCTTGGCTTGAAGGGTAATTTTCTTGTCAAGTGTATAATTAATGCACCATACATTACAGTAGCCTATTGTTATTCTCAAATGCCTGGATACATTTCAAACTGAATGGCTGTTTAACAAAACACTTGGCAGATTTATTACCCTAAGGTGATTCTGTCAGTCAGCATTTTCACGTGGTTAGCCTGAAGGGAGGCAGAATCAATTCTGGTGTCTATTCTGTGGGATGCTGAGCTGTGAAAAGTAAACCACACACCCACATGCACAGCCCCCTTGAAAATCAGGGCTTGTATTGGATCTTCATTTGGTAGCAGTGAAATGGGAATTACCCTTGCAAGCTCCTTGGTTTTTTGCTCCCATGGTCAAAGCATTGTCTGCTGCTTCCAGTATCTAGGAAGGGGAATTCTCTGGCCATTTTCAGATAATGTCCTGAACCTTGTGTTTGTCTTTTCATTACAGAACACTCAGGAGCTTCAGAAGCTCAGCAGTAACTGTGTGTGTAATGGGAATCCTTAAAGAAAGAGACATCACATTGAATTTGCTGTTGCCAGTTCTGCAAAAGAACCCATGGTATGACCGAATCTTGGAGGGATATGTTAGGCCTCGAACTTTATCCCCATAAAACGGTGGTTTAAGTTTCTTGTGACACATCATTGAGATTTTGAGGGTATTGTTTTTATTTGTCAGGAGGAGGAGATCCAGGTGCAGGTGGCAGATGTGTGTAGCCAGATATGAGGATACAGAAAACATGGGGTAGGTGAGAAACAAAAGAAGTCTGTTGCAAGTTTGAAGCAGTAAAACATCACATCATCATATTGTCCCATCTTCATTGCTGAGCATCATTTTCCACTCCTTAAATACTCTGTGTGATATTACTGGATTTTTAAACTTAAAATGAAAAAGGAATACATTCAGTCTGTCTGGTTTTAACTCCCTTCTCCCTTTCTGTCATACCTGTGCTTTTGCTACTCTGCTTTCTCATTTATTTATGTTTTTAGTTTTGAGATCTATGAATTGTCAGAGCTGTTACTGCTTTGCTGTGTCTTCTTTCCTGTTTCACAACAGGTTTCTTTGCTAGAGGCTGAAAAGTCAGCAAAGAATAAAGGTAGGAGTGGACAGGAGGGAATTTTAGTTTTCACACCTGATCTTCTATGAACAGGTTTAAAGAGAGGGAATTACACTTAAAATACATCAAGAAGTAATTCCTTCCTCAAGAATTCAGATAATTTAAAAATGCTTGGTTTTCATTTAGAGCTTCAAGAAAAAACCAAGAGAAGAGAGGTGTTCCTGGTGGGGCACAGCCTAGAGAGGAGGGAGGGCATTTGAAATGAAAAGATTCCAGAGGTAAAACTTCACTGAGCTTAAAAAAAAATCAATTCCTACAAGTTGGGCATCAAGGTACCCACCTGCTGAACTGCTGTAAGATCAAATTCCTTCAGCAGAGGCCCCAGGGTGCATTAAGCAGGCCAGATTTGTCACTGGGAGATGGTTCCATGTCAGTCACTGTCACACCTAACCCCAGCTGGTGGCAATCCATCTGTGCTTGTCAGCCACGATGGTGGCTTTGGGCAGTCATGCGTTAAGCTGGCACTTAGTCCGCTGTGAGCCTGAGAGTAGTGCTAGACCTTCCCACAGGGAGAGGCCTCTCAAATGAGGCTCATCTAGATAGCTTTAATTAAAGAGCAACACATACATATGCATAGGAAGCAGTAGCTGGTGGGCAGCTTCCATGGGAGTTGGAGGGAGGGTAGGAAGGGGGCTGGGAGCTTTATCTTCCCCTTCTCCCCTCTGGTACCAGGGGGACCCTCTTTAGTTCCCTCCCTTAGAGCTCAAGGCAATGCCCACCCCCAGGCAGCGTTCCCAGGTCACTGCTGCCGTGACTCTGTGAGCAGATAACGTAAGCTGGTTTACAGCAATGGATGATAGAGAAGTTTGGGGATCAGTGGGAGCTCCAAGTGTTATCTTTGTCTAATTGCTGTCAGACCTTGCTATGCTGTTGTTGGTGTTAACAGAGGCTCCCTGTGAAATAATTATAACAACTCCCCAGAAAACAATGATTCACTCTCAAGTTGCACTGAGCAGTTGTGTTCCCCTGTTGAACTTGCAGCAAGACAAAACAGCCACCAGCACTGCCTGGGAAGTGGTGGGATTGATCTCCTGTTACAGGCAGGCTCTCTCAGCCTAGTTAGGCAGTTCCTAACGTGAACAGGCAGCTTTTTTGCTGTGGTTTCAAAGCAGGTCTGGGTGCTGGTGCACTGCACAGAGCTGTTAGGAACTGGTTTTCTCCCAGTGCTCACATGGGCACCTGCAGTGCTGTGGATTTGACACTGCACAACATCCAGTGCACTAACGAGTCTAAAGCTGATCATGTAGAGGCAGCAACACCACAGAGCTGCTGCTGCACTGGAACAAGCTACAGGACGCCAGGAAGGGCTCCACATATTGAGTTCAAACCCACTGCATCAGCCCCATGGTGCCCACACTGTGCAGCAGTGTGAAGAGGGGGCAGTGTGCAGAGCAAAGTATAGGATCAGCTCAGAAATGCATGAAAAATTAGAATGAAAGCATCAGCACTGGTTGTGGCATCACATCTATGATTTAAACATGTCAGATTGTGTTTTTAGAAAGAGATCCTGAATGTCACTGGAGGATGTTTATTCCCTTCCACCTTGTCTGCGTGCACTGTGTTAACCCCCAGCCTTCTGCTGGCACATGACCCTATGGCTGTGTGCTGGGCACAGCAAGAACGCTTTACAGTCCTGAACTGGAACACTGACGGCTGAGCTGGTGAGTCAGAAATGGTTTTGATTTTGTCTGTGTTTAAGAACGCATTCGTTTTCAGTGACATTGAGTAACATGAAGGTCTTTTTCTCCACCTGATCCTTGGTGAAACCAAACCATCTCAGGAGAACGCAGTACTCACACTCTGTTTCACCTTTTTGTGGTGCCTATTTCAGTTTCTGGGAAAAATAAGAATACCCAATGTATAGTATTCCCACTCTGGCGGTTAATTTCAATCTAGGCCTATTCTGTTGTACTTTTTCCTGAAGGGAAAGGTTTCCTGGAGACTTCTCAAAAAGACAACAAAGGTATGGTTGTGTTTTCCTGTCTTCTTTTAAAACAAATGGATATCTTGATCTCAATCTGCTCAGCTTTCCTCATGAGAAGTGACCCCACTTTGTGTTTGTTCCGTTGGCATTGCATATGTGGATGTGTATTAAGCCAGTTTTCCAGATTGAACAAAACTTGCACAGAGAACTAAGACGGCAGATTTATTTTCCCATTGCAGTACATGTGAATGGGAATTAGAAACAACTCCATTGCTTCCATAAGCAGGATAAATCCTTGTACTTTATATGCTTCCACTTGCTCTGTACCTCAAGGCATCCAAGAGCCATCCTAAAGTATAAAATGATGCCCAGAAGTTAGGAAGTAAAATATCAGCCCTGCATTTGCTCTCTGATTATTCCCACGCAGGTGTTGGAATTAAGTCTTCTCTGGCCTTAAGAAGATCTCTCGTTCCACAAACGCTGTCTTTGCTGTAGCATTGTGGGGTTATTTTCATAATTCATAATTATCTTGGTTCTTAAAAATTTAGACATACATTTAAAAGCATGATCCAATCTTGCCTGATTGCCGCCACATTGTGTCTGAAGTAATTACCATTCATTTGGCTTTTGAGGCTGCTGAATGAATTTTCCACATGAGATTCCTTAATTTGTACATATTTTATTGCTATAAAATAGGTATTGGCAAGCTGCCTAAACTGTAGCGAAGGCCTTTAATTCCTATCCCTATGTTATGAAACAAATTAGGTGCAAGTGAGGAGGCAGAAGACTCCTTAAACCATGTTTTGTTGCCATTGCAAAATTGTCCTTACGCAGGTGCAAATGCACAGGTAAAATCCAAGTAGCTTGGTTCTGCATTGAAGAGCCCCAAATGGTTACTTTTCATACAAGAAAGATAACATGCCTTTGTGGTATAAAAGCTCTCTCTTTCTATCCCTGAGCTATTATCCCCATGAGAAAATGTACTCTGCTTGAAGAGGTTATTAGTGCCTTTGTGCTGGCTTTCTGCATACAAAGGGAAACATCCAAGAATATTAATCCTCCCTATCCTGTCCATCCATCCTCTTAAAGCTGAACAGTCTGCCTTGCTAGCTGGAGTTTAGAGGCCTGGAGGTGCCTGACTATATAAAACAGCTGTGATTAGGTGGGGATGAAACCAGGGGGCAGGGACACAGGGAAAGATTTGTGGGGCTTCCTTGAATATGGGGCAGCTTCCTCCCACTATTAAACTGAGCGTGTGTTCTCTGCATATCTTCATAAAGAGTCTACTGATAGATGTAAATACATTAGAATGCTGTAAGTAGAGAGCAAGATACAGAGCTGCTCTTGAAGCACACCAGGTTTCATAGCTGTGTTTTGCTAAACAGTATTGTAACAGAATTTTAGGATAAAAATTTAATGTTAGTAGAGAAAAAGGGAAGAAACTTTATTGGTTTTGTTGCTCATTTGCTTTAAAGAGTTGCAGGAAAGTTGATGGATTTCCCCGTTTCCCTATTGGGACACTTCATGTACGACCTTTAAGGAAGAAACCAACAAAACAACAGTTCTTGGCATATGCCTTTGTATAAGCATAATTGGAACATAATTCTGCCCAGCCCAAACTAAGTGAACCATCCCTGGTGATCTCGCATCACCTGTTTATCATAATCACAAGGCTCTCATAAACTAAGCAGCAGGTCTGGGGAGGTTTGGGTCTCACTAATGAGCAGCACTTGTTGACACTCAGCTATTCTCTGGGAAATCCAGCCTTGCCTCATCCTTCTAACGGGGAAGCACGGGAGCCCCCCAGTGCAGAGCTTGTTACAAACCTGCCTAACTGTGTTCAGCTGTGCAGGAGCACCACACTTCCACAGGGAGAACTTTAAGGATTGATGTAAATGTGGCTTGTGCCTGGTGCTTATGTTGAGGTGTGTGGTCAGAAAGTTGGTTTTAACCACCTTGGCTTACTCTAGGATGGACAGGCTGCTCTGAAGCCACACTGGAGACAATACAATAAAGGCTTTGCTGAACTTGAGGACCAGATTTGCAACTTCAAACATACAAAATACATTCAGAATAAGAAATGAGCCTGACACTGGACATCATAGGGAATAGCACACCTTCCTTCCCTCTAGCCCTAGCTACTCAGCAGAACCCAGCTGCTAAAGAAACTTACATCTTCGTCATACTAAACCTTTACCTGCTTGAAGCTCTTGTTTTCACTATGCAGGGTTTCTTCTGGCCTGGGAAGAACATCATGGACGCACTTGGCATCCTGTGGCCCTCTCAGTGCTGAATCAGTTGAGCTGTTTATGAAGGGATCTAAATTTAACACCAGAACTTCATGGACTGTTGTTCAGAGAGGACTCAAGGACACGGTTTCTTTCAGGGTTAGTGTTCAGCGCTAGCTATTTCTGTATCAATTCCAAGAAACTTTGGTTTCTCTGCTTGCAAGCATCACCCTTTTTCTACATGCAAACTGCAGATCCCAGCACCCTGAAAACAACAGGAGGGAATGTGGCCTGTGTCTCATGTGAGATTTCACTTCTGTTTCCCAGTTAATGGCAGGCAGAATTCAGAATGCTGCCTCTGTTATTGGTTCCAGCCCCAGACTGAGCTTGGCAGTGGCTGGTTTCTGTGCTGCTGCCCTGTGCCGTGTTGTACATGAGCCGTGCGCTGAGACATGCACCTTCTTGTGCCTACGTACCAGAATAAATCAAAGACAGGGTTGTTCCGCGTATGAGGGAACACCACATTGGATTGTCAAGCTAGTCATAATACTCTCAGGACCTTCATTCTCTGTGATCTCTTCATCTGGGAGTATTTGCAGTCCCTTTGATGATTCTTTACAGAGATGGAGAATCCCAGAGAGGAAAAATGCTCTGTTTTATTATGGTGATACATAACTTAATTTTGAGGCAGATCACAGATTTCTGTCTGACATTTCTACCTTTCAACTATTGTAAGTTTTTCAGCAAACAGTGAAGGAAAGGGAAAAAGACAAAACCACCACGTTAAATGTTAATGTGCTTTGCTTCTCCCTCTGGAGGGAGAGCTGCAAAAATGTATAACAGGTTTAAATCTTGTTTCAATACATTTTTTTGTGTGAAAATATATGAAGTGTAGTCTGAAAGGACAAAAGAAAATTCTCGTTTGTCCTTTAGGCAAAGCTTTTTAAGTGTTCATACATAAAATATGATTGAGAATACCAGTGGCATTTCAACTAGAGACAAAAAACAAGGTGAAAAATGGTCTGGCTTATCCTAAAAGCACAAGTTTCATTCTAAGGTTCTTTGTGAAAAGCTTATCAATAAAATAAGACAGGACACAAATGAACTGCTGAACGCAAGCTTACTCAGTTGAAGAGAGAGTTCCATTAGGGCACTGCTGGCTATGAAATGTGTCTCTATCCATGGTGTAAATGGGACAGTACTGGCTATGAAATGTGTCTCTGTGGTGTAAATGGGACTGTGGCCTGCTTTGTTGGTGGTGTGTGTCTTCTGAAAGAGATAAATGTAGAGATTTACTCATCAGGTGAGCTTCCACCTTAATTGTAAATTCTTAGGAGCAACCTTTGCAGTTTGGTTTCACCATGTCAAAATAAAGCACCAGCCCTGGGTTCCCACTGTAGTGAACTGAAAAGTAAATGTAGGATTTTCTGTCCTCTTCCATGGAGGACAGAAGATCCTTCTTGTTTCTAGAAGAAGCAACACTTCATCAGAGGGGGCTGTAGTTAAGAAAACAGCACAAGTAAACTTTAGAATGTGCATTTACAAAGAGAAAAATACCATTTGTGTTCCAGATCCTTCCTGCCTCTGTGGATGTGGGTTTGCTCTTAGAGGCACCTCTTGCCATTCCATTGGCCAGTTATGAATTACAAAGTACAGAAGTGAGTAATACTTTGATTTGGGCCTTATCCTGGGTGGAAGAGCAAGAGTTTGGTTGTCTCTCGTGCTGTCTACATGCAGGGGCTTGCATTGCAGCTCACAGTCTCTAACCTAGCTGCGACTGCACTGCTTCAAATTGGCTGCAGGAGAAGCTGAAGGGAAAGTGCAGACAGGTTGATTTATCAGAGAAGCTCAAAAATGCTTCTTTCTGTTCCGTTGTTTTCCCCTGGCTGATCTGAGCCCCTGAAGCTGCTGACACAGGCAGGAGATGCATGTGAGCAAAGGGAATGAAAGTACTGGAATCCTTTCACATAAGGCAGAAAAATCTTGGCTTTGAGTCTGTGCCTCTTCTCCCTGCACAGATCTGCATGGTCCCTCCTGGGCTCAAACCTGGCCTGGGGCAGTGTGAAGATGGTGTGTGTGTGCACCCTTCAACACCAATACTGGCACAGTCTGTAGCTAGCAAGGCTTATTTTGTTTGGGAAGCCATCAAATGCCTTTGCAGGCACTAGAGGGATCTGCAAGAACACCTGTAGCTAGCTAACAAACCAGCTTTGCAGAGGTCTCCACTCAGCAGTACAGGTCACAGGCCACTGACAGGTTGAATGAAGTAACCATTTGCTGGATAAAGAACCCCCTGTCTAGAAGTCTGCTCTGACTTTATATTCCCACCTGGCTAACACCCTGTGTGCCCAGGTTCCTTATTTAAATGTTATTTTGAACAACTTCTATCCTCTTGTCATCATTTCTGCTCTGTAGCAGTAGCTGCTTATTTTGATGTTTTATCTTTTCCTCTTATTATTTGCAATCCAAACTGACCTTTTTACTACATAACCACTTGAAAAAGACATGTCCTGCTCACATGAGGGATGCCTCCAGAGAAGGGCAGTCCTGCATAATTTCCTCTTCTCTACAGAAAGCCTTCATATTGGAAAACTGGGGAATATTACTTTCTGGCCCTGCACACTCTCCTGGGTAGAAAGGTCCTGAAACACAACTTATTGTAAAACACACAGTGGTTACAGAGCTAGCACAGTCAATGATATTCCTTTTATTACCACTCAGATGAGAACACAAAATGACATTGGAAAGCAGTGAACTCACCAGAAGGGCAGAGAAAGCCATTAAATTCAACACACATCATATTTCATAATCAGAATCCTGCAGTCAGAGCTGACACCACTGAATGAGTTTGTTGCAGTCATGATAATATAAAACCTGCTGCATCTGCTTCCCTTGGCACTTTTCTTTGTGGACTCTTGCAGTGTATGGGCTATTAATCATCAGTAGCCAGGGACACTGCAGACCAATGCACTTTGTATTGCATAAATTGAAAATGCATCACTATTAGAGAGAAAACTGCCTTCTGTACATCTCTATTTAGATAAGCAGTTTCCTAAAGGGCTGCCATGTTATTATGGCTAACCACTTAATTGGAGCCCTTTCCACAGGCTGGTGATTGGGGAGGGGGTGGTAATGCAATCCCTTTTGGAGCATGTATGAAAACAAGGCAGGGAGCGCATTCCCTTTCTGACCTAGGAAGCCTGACAGGGCTGGAGCTGGAGGAAAGCAAACAAAAGCAAATATATTGTATCATTTAACCTCACTAAATTAACTTCATAAAGGAGAGGGCTGAGCGTCCCTGTGAGTGGGAGAGGGATGTTGTGTAACCTGCACGGGAGTGGGTTCTCTGTAGCTGACTGGAGCAATGGATCAGCAGAGAAGGGATGTTGCCTTTCCCTCCATTAGCTCTGCTCACAGAAGAAGGTAAGCTAAGGTTTAGGAGGATAAAAAAGTTTTGGTGGCAACATGAGAAAAGGCAATTGCAAATTCAGCACTGAAAATTGCTTTTTAAAGAGAACCCATTTTCTTCTACTGTCATTTGTCCAAGTTTTATATGTAAAGAGGAAAGATCAGCAACTAATGCAAATGAGAGATCAGAAGTAATTTGACAATGGAAATACAGCTTTTAAATTGCATGTGTTCAACTCTCAATTGCTACATGGTTTAAGTATTTTCTCTTGAAGGATCAGCGTTTGGCACTTCATTCATCTTTGGTCATAGCTGCCCACACTTCATTCTCATGCCACATGCCGTACTCTGTGAATCTCATTTCCTTGTGTGTGCAGTCAGTGATGTGTCAGAATGACAGGAGCCTGAGTTGAAATTATGTGAATTTGTGTTGAAGCCCATATCTCCTGGTACTTGCTGGCTCAAACACAGGTTCATTGGCTAAAGTGCTTGGGCCGGAGCCAAATCAGAACTGAGTTTTAAGTTGGGACCCATACACATACCTTGTTCCATCACATACCTGTGATCCTCAGCTTCTCCCAGCTGCTGCCTAGCCTGGGGGTGTTTATGATTTGCCTACTTCACTTGACTTCTTTGGACAACGTCCTCTAGAAAGTGCAACCACAACCCAAAATATTTCTGTCTTGATGGATCCAAAGAGCTCAGATCTCCTGTCACTCAGGTATGATGTCAAGGTAAACTGAACTGGGGAGGTGCTTCAAGAGCATGTTTCTCAGTGAGGTTATTTAGGCAGAGCTGGAGGATATGGAGAGCACAGATTATTAGACAAAAAGACGGCAGGATCTTGACTACAGGATGGAGAAAGGAGGGTCAGGTTCTAACCCACAATCACAGGCTTCTGTTTGCACATTAACAGTAAGCCCCAGGAGTGGTACTTGCATCTGAGTTGGGTTGGGCTCTCTGATCTAGCTGATTGGCATTGACTTGCTTCTGTAAGGAATTAATGCCAAAGCCCTGACAAAGAAGTGACAGCGATATGAGGGGCCCCTTCATGTAGAAAAAAAAGGGGGCATGGCCAAGTCATTCACAGAACAGTACATAGGAAATACCATCTTTTAAATCCTTCCAGTTTGTGCCTTTGACTCTAGGCTATAATCCTGTTAGAGGTTAAGCTGGTCTAAATCCAGACTGCTCTTGTTCTGCCTTCCCCTCTGGTCTGCTCCTGCGTGCTTTGGTGCTACTCTGCATGGCTGAGGTTAAAACAGGTTTTGATACATATTTGCGTTACCTTTAAGAACTCAGAGGGTGTTTGTGTATGTGAGCCTGGTGCCCAAAGGGGAACAGAATTGAGTTTTGAACTCTGATTGCAGGGTCAGTAGCAGGGATGGAAAGGTCACTTAATACAGGAGTTATGAATGAGAACAGAGTTGTCTGTGAGGGACAGTGGTTTGCCTCTGTGGGGAGAACATTAAGGACTGAATTTGGATGAAATCTGATATGGGATGTGCTCTGTTGGTAGCTCCACTCAGATGTTGGCTAGCTGCCTTCATCTTGCAATCTAACAAGAATATAATTTCATTCTAGGTAACCTGGTGGTGAGTTATAACCGATGTGGTAAAGCAGTCAAGTGATTCATGAAGAACATATTACCATCTTTAACTGGAGGTAACAAGAAGTATGTTCTGTTTTAAAGCAACTTTTGGTTTTCTCTGATTGAATCATGGAAGGATAAAAACTATATTCACCTGAGTTGAGGACCAGGGCAGTGCAGGTGGCTTGATTCTGGGACTGATGCTTCTGTCTAATACCTGAACATTAATGCTACCTGTAAGCACTCCCCTGCCCCCCGAAATGGATGTAGGGAAATTCTGCATGCTCTCTGCTGTCTATCACAAAGGACTCTGAAGCCTTGAGAGCTACTAGATCTGATTTTAAAGGCAAGTAGTTAGAACAAAAACATTCAGGTTATGAAAACCTCTTTTGAAAGCCAAGCAACTGCTCAGAAGATTGCTACTGCTGAGTATTGGTTTCTACAAAATTACCTAGTTAAAAATAATGATTTTTTTGCTTTTAAAACACGAACAACCCCCCAAATCCACTCGCTGATACTGGAAACTGCCTGTGCTTCGCTCCGAGCTTTGAATGCAGGTTGTTTTGCAAAAAATAATAATGTTGAAGCATGGAAATATCTTGTTGAAAGAAATAAATTATGCAGAGGTTTCCTAAATAATTGAACAGATACAGTAAACAAAAATTATGACTACTTACAAAACACCTCATCTTGGTAGCATTTTGTTCTGCAGGAACAGATGTGGATTCTGTGTTTTGAGGCTTTAATTTTTATCACACAGTATCCTGTCCTTGGGCAGAGCAGTGTGGCAGATGCAGAGTAATGTCCCAAAAGGCCTGTCAAATGTTGTACTAGCATCCTTCCAAGTTTCTGCTGTGAATTAATGTAGTTGTATGCCAGTATCCTAGTCTTTAATGTCAAACTATTGTATTATAACTTAAAATATTCTAGTGTCAGCCAGTGAACATGGCTTCGAAAACAAGATCTCATTATATTTGTTAGTTAATATTATTAACGTGATGAGGTGTTATAACAGGTAACCTGTTCAAATAGTCAGTAAAGCTGACCTGAAAAGACAATACAAAAGCCCCATGGTGTGGAAGCCATCACAGATTTCTTGTCTGTACCCTCATTTCTTTAGATGAATGTCTGTTAGTCAGTAATGCCTTTTATTAATGCTTTGATTTCACTTGGGATGTCCCAACCTCTGGTTCAATCTGCTGATAGGCTTTGACAGATTGCTTTTGCTATACATAAAGCCGTATTTAATACCAATTTAAGCTCCTTCAGTTGTAAGAGTTACTCATGAGAAAACAAATGCAAGTCAAAAAGAAATGCTTCTGAAGCACAGGAAATTTTCTTTCTCAATGTATATAATTACTTTCCTCTTTCAGTATTGCTAATATATATAATTGCTTTTCTCTTTCAGTATTGGTAATGGGAAATTTGGGATCACACCTCTGTTGTAAGGCTTTGCAACAAGTAGAACAAGCTACTGCAGCAAAATCAGGGTTTACGTTTATTTAGTCCTTGGGGTGGGGGGGGTGGGTGTGCTGGAATTAAGACTAGAAGTAAAATGAGGCCTCCCTGATTTAGAATACAGTGCCTCAAATGTGTTAACCAGTTAGTGTGATTTATGTGTTTCCTTCCTCA